GGCTGGCTGCTTCTTTGGTCAACGCATTCCCCTGACCACTTGTCATTGCGGTTTTTTGCAAAAAATTGTTTACTAGACAAAAACCTCCCCTCACTTAAGTCAATTCAAGGTTAGACTGTCGGATGCAATCTAAGCAGTCTAAATGCATCAGTTGTGGAGGGTGACCAGAAAAGTTGAGAATCGACTTAGGCAATGTGTCGACAGTGGCGGTGGTGACGTAAACGAAAATGCCCCTCAAGAACAGAATTCAACTACTTCGACTTTCACGTAACTTATGCCACTTGATATTACAATTTGTGCCATGTAACTTAGTAAATTTTAAAACGCTGCGGGGCTTTATAAAGGCCCTGTATGAACTTCAGCGTCCTTAAAGTATTGAGGAATTTGAAATTGTCCCTGCCTCTACTGGAAGGGTGGAATTGCCTGATTAGTTAGTTAAAAGCATGAAAAAGTGCAGAGTCTAACTTGGACTGCATCGGTACCTCGTAACTTTCCGCGTGAGTTACTTGCACACCTTGATCTTCTCTTGAAGAGCTGACGACAGACCAAGGTCGGCTCTCAGGGCAACAGACGGGAATTTGTTTACCCCCCCCCTATTACGCGGTACTGGGCTACCCAGAACCCTACAAGATGGTTCGACCAGGGGTTTCAAATCTCTGACGTTCCGACCTGAGTAGTTATCGGTATCAACTAAGTGTGCTTAAGGTTTAATTGGTAGGCAAGGAACCGTCGGATTATGCTTCATCTAATTGAAAAAAGTAAAAAGTTAGGGTAAGGGTGTTGAAATAATGGAAAAATCTACCGGCCCTTCGTACATTTGCTATTAATAATGGTCTCCGCCAGGTAAGCGGGGGAGCTCCAGAATGAACTTCTGATATGCTTCTTATTGAAGGCAAATATTCTGCATGTGAAAGAGTTTCTGATGTAAAAATTTGTACGAGAAACGGAAAATGAGCAGCGTTGACATACATCAGGCATGGCTACCTGCAGAATCAGGAAGACCTAGCACAGAACTGACCGACCTAGAGAAGGATAGTGAAGACTGGAGCAGCCATCAGTGAAGCCAGCCGAATCGTCGCTGCCAAGGCCAAAAGCAAAGATCGCAAGTCTCTGGCACTCCTGACCAGCAATGTCAACCCTCAACTCCTCCCAACTTCTCTGCGTTGTCGGCCAACAATCGCTGCCTTTAGCACCATCCCTGCTCCAACAGCCATGGAGTCCACTACGACGGCCGCCCTTAGCAGCGCAGCCCAACATCCCCATGTCACGCGCCGTCGATTACCGCCATCTTCATCCGCCCACTCACTCACACCATCAAACAAAACGCTCTCAACGGCCCGCCACCCACCACCATTGCCATCGCCACGCCCATCTCCAGCGATGTGCGCTCGATCCAACCTATCTCCACGGCGGTCGCACATTAACCTCACGCCTCGGCCTGATCGGTCATTTGCGAATCCATAGTACTGCGACCGGTGCACCGGAGGCCCCCTCACCGCAGTCGCCGCATCCGCCTTCATTGTCCACACAAACCTAACACACTGGGCACATCAGCCATCCCTCCCATCCCCAGTCCGATCAACATTCCATCGACAAGCGTGTACACCACCTTCAACATCACAACGAAAACTGACCCAACATTTCGCAGCCTATCCTGCCCACACTGCCACCACACGTTCACAGGCCTGGTCGGTCACTTGCGGACCCATTGCACAGAGACTGGCGAACCAGTGCCTGGAGCACCGACAGGCACGAGACGCCATCGCCCCACTTGTCCGCAGTGCCCTCGAACATTTAGCCATCGCACGGGTCTCGCAGGCCACATGCGCCGACCTGAGAACCTGCGGTAGAACACTGCCGGCTAGACCATATCATCACAGCTCTCCTCACCACTACCTCCAACACACATGACCACACCACACATTATGCAATGCAGGCATGTCACTGATACCTCTCACGTAAGTGAGGAGTGTGCTTCGCACCTCTTTCTCCATGTGGTTCCTCTGCTGCATGTGTGATCTGAGCTTGAGACTATGACGGCGCGCTAATGGTCGTGGCTTGGAATGTTGCCAACTGAGGCGGTTAACTCAGACGTCCAAGTCAGCCCAGTGTGTTCTTGTGGATTGAGTGGCCAATCGGTGAACTGAGCGTCAAGCGGCGGTGGCTCCTTCTTAATGTAGCCTCTATGGAACTCCCACTCCGTGGGATCCGAGCTGTTTCTCGCTCTGGTAAAAACGGGGAGATGGCACCCAAAAAATCCGCCTAACCAAAACAGCCTCTCTTACGGGACGGGTGGTAATAGGGGTTTTATGGCTGGTGGCTGGTCGGGATTTACGATACAGGCCGACGGAAAGCCTTATTTGAACAGATGAATGGTCGAAGTTGGCCCGCTCTCCGCTCCGTTATTAAAAAATAGGTCGCCAAAGGCAGTATAGTGGTAACGGACGAGTGAAAGGCGTATAATCGTCTTCCCTCAGAAGGTTATCTGCATTTCTCTGTTAACCACTCAAAGAACTTAAAGGACCCTACCACCGTACGGCACATCAATGCCATTGAGGCATACTGGAGTAGACTGAAAGGGAAACTCAACGAGGGAGGCCCTGTATGTTGTCGAG